TTTTTTTTTTTTTCTTTATAAAGACGGCTCTGATGTCATTTAAGGAATCCCCTGTGGGTGATCATTTAGGTTTGTTTCAGGTTTTTCTCTGTTACAAACAGTATTTTAACAAATATCTGTGTATGTGTCTTTACCCTCTCTTATGAGTATGCTGTGGGGTTAATTCCTACATGTAGAATTACTGTGTCAAAAAGTGGGAATATTTTCTCATTCTAATATCTATTGCCATAACAGAAAGATAAAAGCAAATCAATGCTCAGTCCTTGTTATGCGACCTTCAGGTAAGTTACTTAACCTCTTTAAGCTTCCGTTTACTCATATGTAAAGAGAATAATTATATTCTGCCTCACAAGAATGTAGCCAGCTTCCAGCTGTCATAAGCTCTGATATATGGTAAATACTTACTAAGTAAAGTGTTGGTTGTCTTCTTAATCTGTAATGACATGTCACTTCTTATAGAAATGTACCTTACCTTTTAAATTTTATTTTATTCAGCTGTGACTCAAGACCTGCAATGAAGGAAATCTGCTTTTGAAAAATAGGAGAACTTTTTTCCTTTGGTTGGATTCTTCAACACAGCCAATGAAAACAGAGCACTGTATTTGTTCCCACTGATACATCACTGATGTTTCCAAGAAAGAATGAGAGACAATCCTAGACTTCCACCGTAATGCAGCATTACATGTAGACATAAGTGATGCACATGATGTTCACACAGTGAAAGTCATAGAGATACAAAGTGGTATTGTTTACACTCCTAGAAAATTATTAGTTTTCTAATGGCAATAACCTATGTATGAGAGTTTTAGCCCACTGGAATAGACAGGGACCATTTCCTGTGGGAGGGAGATCCGCACAAAGCTGATATTTGATGTACATTCTTGCATCAGTGAGTTATCCCTAACAGCATCTTAAAGCAGGTGCCAAAGGTGCTTTGCTTTGTCCTCCTCAAACAGGTGAGTCAGCCCCACCGAGCGCCAGGCAGCTCTGAGTGGCAGAGCGGTGCTAGCAGCTTGTCTGTCTGCAGTGGAGCAGTCTTCTGTCACAGAGGCATTAGTTTGGAAGGAAGCTGACAGGTCAAGTCTCAGTGACATTGTCCTTCCCTTTGGTGGCAATATACAATTTTCGCATTTTAATTACTCCTGATGCAGTATATTTAAAACTAGTCTCTCCCCTCCTAACAAAAGGGTGAATCTAGTTTGCTCTGAGCATTAGGATTTGCTCCTCTGGAATTCTGTGCTCCAGTTACTTAACTTTCTTTTCAGAGTATATGTGGAAAGAAAGAAATTACAATGATCACTCCAGTTTATCTCATGTGGTACCTTGAACAAAATGGTTATTCTCAGATTGTACTAATCTTTTTTTAATAAGGTGAGTGAGGTGGGTGGAGGGAGAGAAGCACTCAACTTTGTTTGACTGTCTCTCCCCACCCCCACCCCCCTTTTTCTGTGAGCTGGGAAGTGTGCAGTTGGTGGCCTTTTTCCTTCTGTCTTCAGGACAGTGAAAGAAGCCTCAGTCGGCTTCTGTGTCAGGACGCACAGCTATCAG